AGGACTACTCCGCAGCTGTGGCCTTATGCTATATATATATATACATGTCAGTTAACTATATATTTCATCGTTATAATTCATTACTACAATGATAATTTCTGTCTTATTCCTCGGTATATTCCCACCACTGTATAAAATGTGCATGAACTGGCGTATTCACATCAACTCATATACCTATAGGAAACTGTATGAAACAATTCGCTCGTGTCGCACCCCAATTATGACATGTAATAATACATTTTCGATGATTTTATACATGGATAACACAATACGAAACAAATTTATGCATAATATTTTCAGCAAATACATGATTATTATTATTATACGTGACATACCTCTAGCTATGTATCTAGTAATGCATATTATTACTTTGTCGTGTATAACAAATGACATTGTGTGCATCAATATCCATCGCCACGGGCCGTTTTTCCGAAGTACCTATGTAGATACATCGCTGCAGACACGCAGTACTCACACACTGCCCGTTTATATTATAATATATAGTATATAGAGTTATAATAAGCGAGTATTTTATAATAGGTATCTACATATATATTCGACGACGGGAAATAACAAGTCGGAAAATGTTCCAACAATCGATTTACGTGCGGTCCTGTCACGCCATCGTACAATAATAATATAATGGCTAATGTGTCGTTACGACCGCCGCCATCGATAACACCGATAATCACTTTTTAACCGACTGAATAGGGTTTTCTGGTCGCGAAACGCCGCTGTATCGCACAATGTGTATAATAATATTATAACCCATATAGTATGTGTATATATATCTATATATATTACATAGGTACGCCGTATGCTATATTCGTAAATTATTATACTATGCAGTGTGTACGAGCAGTCGTCAAGGTTATGTCCCGGCGAGATTTGTCAAGCGCACCGGTTGATTAAACTGCAGCGCGATGATGACAATAATAATAATAATAATATTATAATATCGTATTATATTGTGTGTTATGTATACCTAATATTATATACTCTTATATACATATATAGTTATTATAATATATCGTCACTACACCACATATTATACATAATATAGTATATCTCATAGTAAACATACGAATATAGTAGAATAATATGTACATACCCGAGGTGCCCAGTGTATATAAAATATTTCATACATTACATTTGCAGCACACTGTATATATGTAATATTATGTATGTACCCACGCGGAAATAAAGCGCGTGCGTGTTTGTGTGCTGTATATATACATTGTACACACTATATATACCTATGTATACGGATTCAGTAGTATAATAGCTGTGTGTGTGTGTGTGTGTGTGTGTGTGTGTGTGTGTGTGTGTTAGAAAAAGCAAGTATACAGGTTTTGCATATTTTTGCACATAGGTATATTAAATATTGCGATAACAATAATACTACCATGTGTGTAACCATATTGTATTTATATACCTTTATTTTTGATTCTATATAGGTACCTACCTAGTTAAGGTTAAAGTGATTTTTAAAAATTTGATTCGACCGCCACCGTTCAAGAGTTTTGGTGACCATACCTATGTATAATACAATTTTAGAATATCAATCTATTAATTTGACTCAGAATAATTGACATTACATGTATAATAATATATAATATTTTAAAGATAAGACGCTTCTACATTATGCGTATGGGTTTATTATTATCATTATTCGTACATTATTATTCCAATCATCACTTTATAATATATTATTGGTACTCATCCTTGGTACAATTTTATATTGTGAATATTCTATTTTAAGTATTACTGAAAAGAGTAGCTCTCTTATAGTCCCTTTAGCCTCTAGTGTCCTGACTGCCACTCCATATAAACGTGTATAGATGTCTAGCCCCCCCCCCCGGAGGGGTGGTGTACTTACATTTATATATTGCAGCAGTATATCATGTATACTATATAAGTATAATATGAATTATATATGTGACGCAAAGGTTCTAATAAACTTCACAACGGTGTACAAAGTTTAGTTCAATAATAAATTGTTGTCGTATACATGTATGTGTTATCATAAGAAACCGTTACGTTGGTGCGTATATTATCTATATATAATAATATGAGCTTCGTCGTGGAGTCCGGCGGTCGGACTCCGTTTTGTGACCCCGTCCCGACAGCGACGTGTTCGCTCGGGAAAAAAATCTATTATTAATAAAGTTAGATATATATATATATATTTATTTACCTGTGCTTGAATGTATATAAAACTGAGTATATATACGAGAGCACGCAAAGTTCTTGGCAACCGAGCCGTTTTACTGTATAAACAACACCCTTAAATAATATAATGTATTGTGTTTATGATTTTATACGTAAACCCTTCTCCTATCCGTTATATTCGCTCAGCCCTCCCGCCCTTCCGTGTCGGGCCAGAGCGCAAGGATTGACCCTTTATATACCTATACCCTTAATGGGCTATATCGGGAAACGCGCACGCCATCGCATATCGCATACACACACACACACACACACACACACACACACACACACACACTGACAAACACGAGTCCGGGAAATTCGTGCGTGTAATAAAACGAAAACAACGGACAACATAAAAGGACACCCCCACGCCCCACGCCGTGTCGACCTTTCGTGACTATTAATTTTTCGGAATCCCAGACTTTTGCTGCCCACTCAGGTATATTAAGTATATGTCTGTGCGCGTTCGTGTGTGTGTATAGACATATTAATATACTATTATATAATAATTAATAATATTATACCAATATGATGTAGGTTGGCTTGTCTGAATGGCGTTTAAAGGCAGTATAATATTCAATAAGCAAACGACGACTGCTGACATGGTAGCAGTTGTACCGCTGCCATTATTGCATGCCGAAGCTGAGGAGTGAGGATATGATGATGAATATCATGCACCGACCCACCTTTTTCTGTCGACCATATTATTATATATTATATTTCATACACATTTTTTCATGGGTGCATGAATGTATAAATTCCTCGTTAGAACCTAAGCCGCCCGCCGGCGAAATTATCATTTAATTCGCGCCCGCTAATTTATATAGATAATATTATACCGTGCTACTCCACCTTATTATACTCATATAAAAGCGATTGGTAGCTCTATGTGTAGACAATTATTATTGTTTAGCACGAGCAACCGTTTAAACGATCTACATGGCGGTGCGAGATTTATATACGCGTTTGTATCGCGAGCATTAATTCGGTTAAAGAGCGCAGCTCTCCGCCGTGTGTACCGACGTCGCGTCGTCGGGTCCATTAGCGTTTCATATAATATACACACATATACCTACAAACGGGTTGGGCGGAGACTAGAAATTTCATACGCTCACCCACTGCAGAACACTTAGATACATATATACATGTATACGCATATAAACAATTCGAGCACCATTAAATTGATATATCTGTGAGTGCGGGGCGGCCGAGAGGTGAGACTGCAGAGCGGTACACCCTGCAGCGGAGGGTGTGTTGTGAGCGCAATAACGAAATATATTCTAGGGGTGGTGGTGGGAGGCGAAAAGCCACGTCGCCGGTGGCTGCTGCGGCGGGAAAACAAGAGAGTTACACTGCGAGAGAGCTGCTGCTGGCGAACACCCTCTGGCCTCTCTCACCCCTTTTCTCCTTCACTACCACTGCCCAAACTCCTGCCACCGGTACATAGTAAAGACTCTCGTATATATTAGCGACATAGAAGGGCTGAACGGCGGCGGACCACTTAAGCCCCTCTCGCGCGCACACCGCGGCTCATTGGCTTTCGCGGCTCTTTCCCCGCCGGTCATCCCTTCCCGCCCGGCAGATTTCTTTCTTTCTTTCCCGTTTTACTCCAATTACCGTCGCCCCGTCGCCGGTAGTACACGACAATCGAGCGCGACCCCTCTCGACAGCCATTGTACGCACACACAAACAGAACCCCCCTCCAACCCCAGCTTGGGGGTAAGTCTATACACGCGGTACATTGTTCGAGGCGGCGCGTTACGATAGCGCTATTTTTTACCACTCTCATTTTTTAAACCCCGTTTTATTTTTTTAAATGCAAATTGACAGACGAATTATATTCGTTACACATATAGGTTAGGTATAATGCTACAGTGTGTCGACAACGGGTTTTTCACACCCGGCCCCAGAGACCGGAATAATAAATCCGTGGCGCGTTTGTTTTCGCCTTGCATCACAATATTATTTATTACTATATAAGTGCAGAGAATTATACATAGGTACCCTAAAAATATAAGCTCTATAAAGCAAAAGGCAAAAAAATTGAATTCCATATTGTTTTATGATATTAAATATTAAATGAGACTTTTAAAATGGGTTTATATAATATTTTATAAAAATTTGATCTTTCGTATAAGACTTCGATTGCTTCTACGCTATTGCCCAAGAAGGAACGCGGCACAATAATTCACCTATATTTTTGTCTTTGATGACGAAAAAGAGCGCAATTTAGAATCATTTAGTAGAGTTCGTGTACGACCTATTGACGTTTATGTTACAAGAGCGTTTTGTGCGATTTTTATCGTCGCTATATATTTTGCTACCGTAATGACCGGAGCGGACGGCGGCGTTTCGCGTGATATGCGTGTCCCGCCTAACCGCCGCCTTCACGACGTGCGCATTCGAGTCACCGCTGCTATTAAGCTTTATATCGCGTTTCGGATTTTATGATATTATTATATTATTATTACTGTTTTGTTTTCGTTTTTGTCACATAATGTGTTCGTGATGTCGTGTGGGCGTAACATATAATATATATAAGTACAAAACATTATAAATGTCCGGCAAACTATAATATGCAGCACCACACACACAATATATGTAATATAGGTACCCACTGCTATAACTATATGTATACTTTATAATATCAAATATATTATAGTTGCTAACTCTTTTTTTTATACATAGAATTATACCCAATACTTATATTCTGGTGTATAATATTGTATATGTTTTGTAGCTTTGTATTTACCTCGTTGTAATCGTGAATTTTCGTTTTTGTGCTGCAGGTCATAGAGACGACGATGGCCGGAATTCCGGTTCAAATCTCAGCAAGAAACAGAGAAAAGCGAGGACGGCGTTCACGGACCACCAGTTGCAGACGCTCGAAAAGAGTTTCGAGAGACAAAAGTACCTGAGCGTACAGGACCGCATGGAATTGGCAGCCAAGCTCAATCTGTCCGACACCCAAGTCAAGACCTGGTACCAAAACAGAAGGTGAGCCCAGTTTATATTATTGATATTTTGTAAATAATATGAGTATGATTAATATGGTATATAGGTACACCCTCGCGTGTGTATATTATATACAACGGGTTCAAGTGTAGTTTATTGTGCGTTGCGCTTATAACTATATTCTATAGGTGCCTAATATACAATTGCCCCTTTGCGGAGATAAGCTAGTAGCCATATTTCCAAACTATCCGTGTCCAAAACACCGCATTTGCTGGAGCTATTATATTTCCATCCGGAGCGAGCCGCTTATTATATTGTAACCTACCTACGGTGGTATTATTATAAGTTATAATAGTATACGATAATATGTACGACGAGAAAAAATAAAAATAATAACGAAACGCCAGCATGGCATAACACCAACGACAACGTTACCCTTATCGCCACCGAAAAAAGCAATAATAACAGTATACAACAAACGCGTGGAGCACGTGAACGGCGAAAATTCGGTAATAGCTGTATATTATGTATGGTTATCGGATATATAATATGTGTATGTATGTATGTGTGTGTGTGTGTGTGTGTGTGTGTGTGTGTAGTTGAAAACGGATGTGCTGCAAAAGTCGGTGGCGGGCGGGTCGTATAGCAATACGATATCGTGTCTGATATGCGTTTTCGTGTGCGGCCGCCGACGAAAATATTGTAATTATTGTCGTCGTTGCGATGAAGGATGGATGAGTGGTGGATGGGAAGGCGGGCGCAAAAGGGGGTGTGAGAAGGCGTTTTCTAAAAAATATACCGAAAGCAAGAGACAAGTGTAAAACGCTATGTAAGCTTTTTTCATCGCTCTATAATGTATACATAATATGTGCAACCGCCAACCGTGCGTAATATTATACGTTGCAAATGCAAATTCCGCCCCTTAATACTAATAATAATAGTTTTAAAAAAATGTACCCTCTTCCCTAGCGCGAGGCCGAAATACCTAGTGGAGCATAATACACGTTGTACGATTTTTATCTCTCCCCGCATATTATAATATAAAATAGGTATAACGGATTTAACGTGCCGCATATAGATATATATATATGGGTACACATACAAACGATATAAATATATTATAATATTTGTACGATTTCGGCGAAGGGTCCGAGTCAAGTATATAGGTACGTGTATAGATGCTTGAACAATCCGCGCATAAATGGGTCGTATAAAGGTGGATCGTAGCGATGAGGATGCTGTACTGTATAGCAGTTATAAACAATTTTATAGTATAATATGCCTTTCGAGAGACGTCCCGGTCATTTGTCAAGTACGTACCTATACATCTGAAACGTGGTCGGAACATAAGTGGTATACACTCGAAGAGGATCTATTATATGATATTATAGGTGTGGGTATCCGCCCGACGGGGTGCGCTCAGCACAAAAGCCGCGAGCAATAATCACAACACCGATGCGCGTGTTAACTCTTGTGTAAACGCCGTCGTGGCTAATATTCCACTTATTATTGTATTGTACACAAACGCGTATAGGTTAGGTATAATGTGCAAAGATAATATTATTGGCGGCGGTAAGGAGGGATGAGAAAAGGAGACGGGCGAAAAAAAATCCTGGCACATTTATGGATAAATCATTTGGAGTGTGAAAAATCGGCGCACACACCATTATAACAATAATATGTACCTATACCCATATGTATTGTAACAATATAATATATAATGTATAAACGACACTAATATACGATGTAATATTATATATTGTATACTTATACATATTATAATAGCTGCGGCTTGAAAAGGAGCCTCCGCGGAGGATTTCGCGTGTCATTTGGTGTGCACCGCGGGTGCGGTTAAGGAGATAATTTATCGTCCGGTAGATACGCTAGTATATATGTGTGTGTGTGTGTGTGTGTGTGTGTGTGTGTGTGTGTGTGTGTGTGTGTGTGTGTGTTTGTAGTTGTATAAACTATATATACGTATAACGTATATTATTAGCATCTGCTCGGCGACGGCAAAGGATTGGTTGGTCCTGGTGACGAGGGGGTTGGTCGCGACGAAGCGACAAACATATTATAATATACAATGTGTTGTATTGTGTAATACGCGCTCAGAAATTATTTCTTGTCGCCGCCAATGCAAAGGAAGAGCGACCAAATATTTCGGCATTTGCCATATTCAGCCTGCGTGATTATCGTCGCGTAAAATGTATACGATTTCTATGTTATGAGCTCTCGGAGGTACGTGTAATAAAATATTGCTATAAAGGGCGATCGATTATAATAAAATATATAATTGCGTATTGTTTTCAGCGTCTGTCCATGACGATTATACGTATAATAATAATACATTGCAAAAGGCGTTCTCTTATAAATACCTGTTTAAATGTCCATTTATCACGCTATGTGGACACATGCAATAATAGTTGCATTTGTCTACCTACCCATATATACGCGACTTAAGGGTTAAGAAAACTGCAGTGTATAGCCACGTGTATATACTGCGTCTTATTTTACTATATATATATATTGTCACCTCGACTATACCTACCTATATAATATTATAATATTTTCATGGTCGAAAAAGTTGATTTACTGGTGACCGTCGTCTCGGTTGATTTATATAATGTTCACTGCACGCTGCACTCGCCTTATGTATTTACTGCAATGGTCTGTCGTGGCGTTGGCGCACTAAATCAAAGGCTAAAATTAGTCGCGTCCGCACACATTATGTTGTATAGTGTTGAACAACGGTCGGGTAATCGCACGCGGACAAGATGAATACGATTCGGCCCCGACTTGTAAAGCATCACCTATATCTTTATACACACTCGTTTAAAAAACTGTTTTTCGCTCCTTTGGCAAGCCGCCTCCGTACGCATATATAGATACCGGAATTAGAATCAGTAACGACCCATTAATCGTGGCTAGCACTAATAATAATTATTATTATATTAGACAATGTATAGTGTATACCATAACACCAGCTGCAGTAGCTTTTCGTGGCTCCTTTAACGTGGCGCTTTTTAACGAGATGTTCGCATTGTTTTCCATCATCGATCATGTGTTGGAGTGGGAAGAGACTAAATAAAAAAGATTTTTATATTCAATTTTAGCCAAGATCTGAGTGCGCCGGGAAATTACACTTATTTTTATAATTCCAAATTGAAACTACTTGCATAACTCAATGTGTGAAATGTATTGGACAAATTTAAAATGACCACAAACCATGTTCATTAACCCACGTTATGACAAAGTAGATTTCTTTGAAGATCGTTCCTCTTCCGATCGAAATTCCCATCCGATCGGCGAGCACTGGTTATAACATAATAATAATAATGTGTATTATGTATACATTCGTTGAACGGTTTTTTTCGCCGATCGTTTTAATTGACACATCGCCGTCGCGCGCCGTCTATCGTGTCTCGCGGCAGCGACGTCTTCGATGAAGACGTTAAAGCGTCGTTCGCGAAACGCGGTGAAAAAATCCTTCCTATATAAGTAACAAAAACGAGTAAGATTAGAGAAAAAAATTTAACGAGAAAAATCGAGGGTGTAAAAAATCGGAGTTCCGATTGTGGCCGCGCGTGAATCGCGTGCGTGTCGAGAGACTATAATATAATAGTATTATTTTATCTACGACGAAAAAACGTAAAAAAACCATAATATTAAACGTCATATACACATATAGACTATTATGATACTATGGTATAGGTATAGGTACTATTATTGTATATTATGTACATCGTAGTCATCGGCGCGCGCGAGACTCGAGACCATATATATATATATATATTATATTAAACATGATATCGGAATTTTGTGTGTTTTCCACGGGTCGTTCGGGTCACGTTCGATGCAGCAAGTGGCGACGGTCTATTGTGTATATTATTATATCGAACAAGAACGATGATGACCGTACCCAGTCAGCTCGCTCGTGCTCGGGCACGTCGTCGTCTCATATTTAATGGAAAAACACGTCTTTTCTTCGCGGGTTTTCTTATTATTTTTCCAACCACCCCTCTCCCGGTCAATACCTACTCGGAATCACGCGTATACAATGGTTTTTTGTTTTGTTTTTTATCGTTTTCGTTCCGTATAGTAATAACACAGCAATAATAAATAGTAATAATATGAAATAAAAAATACGAGAGGCTACCTACATAATATACCGCCATCGCATCTATGTATACGCGACTATACCGATATGATGCGTAGTGTCGTACATTTCGCCGCCGGCATCAGAAAACTCATGAAACGAATCGATCGTGTGCGTGGCAGCCGCCGCCGCCGCCGCTGTTATATATACATATACATCATTGACGTTTTAATCGATGTGTCTACGCGACTCTGCGTCGGAGAAACGAAAAAAAAAATGACTAAAAAATCGTCCACGGTGCAGAGCCGTTGCAATCGCACACGAGTCCATCGTAGAATGTGTATTATTTTTTTATTGATTGGTTGATCTGATGACGATGGCCGTCTTGTCGCTGTTATTTCGATTATTCATTTCAAAACAAACTGTTATATTATTTAGTATCCGCAGTTATTATAATATTATGAGTATATTAATACGCTCAAGAGGAATAACCCGTCTTTGTCGTCGTTTGAACACCAATAATATAAACTATTATAATATAATATGTATGAGTTTATTTTACGCGACTTCTAGTTCGCTGTAAAATCGGCATTGTTTCTATATTCCAGCGGACAGTTATTATACATTTTAATGAAAACGTATTTTTCATGTATAGGTATTATAGGTGTACTTTGCGCTACATAAACGAGTGTAATGACACGTTTTTTATTTTCCATTTCCTTCCGAAATAGAATTCTATATCATTATAATAATTTGTATAATATGCGAACGCACTATAGTATACCTACACCTATAATAACATGGCCGTGGGGCATCTCTTACATAATATACAGCTAAACACGCACTAAAAATTAAGAGTTTTTTTTAAAAAATAATTTTTGGAACTAACGTACGCCCTCGAACATTGTATACGTGTTATCTGTACGACTGTGCTGCAACCAACTTTTTGCAGAACAACTAAAATATTTATAATTTGTATTAATTGTCCAACGAAATCACTCGAGTTTAGTATACTATTATGATATATTACGATGAAGACGATTTGTTTTATATACAAGCATTCGTTATTTTCTCGTCGAATGGCCTTCGTGCCCATCCGCTCACTGCACAATAATAATACATTCTTTTCAGAGTAATGTTAGTATAATATTACATCAGATAAGACGCAAAATAATAAATTATCCAAAGCTAAATAATATACACAAAATTCTACAACCCACCATACGACATTAGAGCAATTGTAACGATTATAATATAGAAAATGCACGCATATACCATAAACTGCAGTTGAAAACTGCTCTTATTATTCTACCTATATTTATACTAAACACAATAAAACTATTGGTTTGTACACTGATTCTTTTAGTAGAGAAACTCGTGGGTTCTATATATTTTTTGTTAATTTTTTAAGTAATCTGAACAGAACTATATAGATATTCCCTAACACTATATTATATTAATACAAATAATCCAATTGTTTCTTATACTTTTAAAGATATCCGTATCATTTACTTGATATACCTTTACACATATAAAGTTTATAGTTTAGAGGGTTGAAGTACTGCGGGACATTACTCATCTCGGTTGATAAACAATACCGAAATGTCGATTCTTTTGACAAAATTATGATGCGTACATTATATTTTAAGTACATTATGTGCAATTAATATGGAGCGTTTAAAATATCGTTTTCTAATCCGGTCGGTGTTGTTATGTTGCGCAGGACCAAATGGAAACGTCAGACAGCAGTGGGCCTGGAACTGTTGGCCGAGGCGGGCAACTATGCGGCGTTCCAGCGGCTTTACGGAGGGCCTCCATACGGCTGCTGGCCCTACCCGGCTGGCGCCGCGGGGGCCGCCGGTGGCGTTTCCGGCGGGGGTGGTGTGTCGGGGGCGGGCGGCGCTCCGTCCGCGGCCGACTTGTACTACCGTCAAGCGGCTGTGGCCGCGGCCGCAGTGTCCACGCTCCAGAAGCCTTTGGCCTACAGGCTGTATCCCGGCATGGCGGGCGGGCCTGGGGCCGCGGGCTCCGGCGCCGGCGCGTCCGGCCACCATCACCACCACCACCACATACCGCCTCCACCGGTGCCGCTCGCCCACCCGATGTACTACGGTGGCGTCCACCATCCGGCCACCATGCAGCCGATGCCCGGCCGCAGCCCAACGCCCGAACCACCAGGCCGATCGTCCCGCGGCTCGCCCAGATCGACGGTGGACAGCCGGCCCGGTTCGGTGGACGTCGAAGACGACAGGTCCAACTCGCCCAATGTGGACGTTTAAGCGACGACCGCGGCGCGCTGGCCTGCCGCGTGCCATAATATAATATACCATCATAGCACCGCGCACGTGACTATATATTATTATTATAGTCCGTCACTCGTTGTCGTGTTTAAGTGCAGCTGCAGTGTACGCGCGTGTCTATAATAATATTCTTATATATATACATGAGGCACTGTAAAATGCACCCTCAAACACATACACCCACCTAGTCGTCGTTTACTCTCTTTATTATTATTATTATTATTATTATTATTACATGTATATGTATATTATAATATATATTTTACGTTCCGTACCGACTCTGGCGCGAAAAATGTTTTTTGTTTACTTTACTTCATATTATTATATCGTGAGAAATTATTACTGCGGCAAACTTTATTACCACGTTTTAATTCGATTATATAATAATAATTAATATTATCATACATTTTTGTAAGAAAACCTTATACACAGAAAGATGTCATATACTCATATTATAAACTATGTTCCCCTAAAGTACAAATATTCTATTTTTAATTTATTTGTAGTTAAACCGTAATATATAATATAGTAGGTATATATTATATGGTACTGGTATAACACGTTTTTCAGTGGAGAAAAATATCCGAATTTATTCGTTAAACACACGTGTAGGTATTTGTTATTAAATTATCATTATGAACTCGTACCGAAGATTTTGTTATGAATTTGTTCAATCATTTATTTTTATTTTTTTTTTATTTCAATAAAACTATGTCGGTAAGCCAGAGACTTTAACGTACGTCAACCATCCGGTTACTCGTGAGTGAAACAATATGTGGGTACTATACATAATATAACTATCTTGTTTATTAACATACATATTGTATTGTATAACTTGTATGTCTATATACTTTTATGTAGGTATGTTTTTCATAATTTTGCTTACCACGATTGTTTCTTATCGATATTATATATTATTATTATTATTATTATTATTATTATTATTATTATTATTATTACTGTAAATATTACTTATATATTACGACAATTAGATACCAATATTGTATATATAGATACAGTGTAAGTGATAAGTATCAATAATTTATTTCGTATGTTTATTATGACGTAGTGAGTAAGCAAGTAAATAATATATAAATAATTATATTATACGAAGTCGTGCAATGTAATAATAATAATTAGACTATAAGTATTAAGTATATTCTAACATAATGTACATATATATAGACATTTTATTACTTTAAATCATAATACAATAATTGTATGTACTATTTTGTCATCAGGCTTGGTATATAACCGTATACTTTATATGCCGTATATAATGTGCGTATTGATATACGATATTTGTCATGTAACCGTCGAGTGTAGAGAACATGATCGTGCCAAAAAAATAAAAAATAAAAAAAATAGTGTACGCGATTAATAAAACAAATGAACAAAGTAGGCAAAAAAATACCGAGACGCTTCGTTTTATATATGACACACAATAATTGTATACCTAATATTTAGGAATCGTATATAATATTGTAAGCTATATTTATGTACGCGTATTCAATTATATTATATTTATAACAATATGTATAAAAGCGCTGATGTACACGATCGCGCGTTGCCGTACGATGGTTTTCCGTGTAAATAATAACTATCATTCTTGTTACATGTAAAAATATAAAAAATAAATTAACATTATTGTTTAGAGTTTAACCGAAGCGTTCGCATTATTACCTATATCTACTATATAACATACCTAAATATTATCCAAACAACACATCATGTCCGAAAGATCTCATCCTTTTCCATCACTCGCTCTCGTATACGACATGCACACAGCAGCATTGCAGTCGTCCAGAGTTTCCGAGCAGTGCTGTCGATGCTCTCTCACACACACACACACACACACACACACACACACACACACTTGTACTTTGAACGTGTGTACGATTTTCAATTGAACTCGATTCGGACCGGAGTTCCTGATCGAACACATGTCGGCCGCGGCGCGGGGTTTCGGTCCATTCGTTTCGTACAATGCCTCGTTTTTATTTCTCCCTCTCACCCCTACCAAAAAAAAAAAAAAAAAAAAAGAAAGAAAGAAAGATGTACAAGAGAAGCTCGTGTTGATTATATTATTACACATATGGATACGCATTGAAAACGGGCGTCGTAGCATTGTGCTCGTATATTATAGTATAAAATTATACAATTAATCGCGTGTTGATGGGTAGGTACCTCCTAATGTGTTATACGAGTATTTATAATGTGTAGTACCTAACTAATTGGTAAACGGCGGGTCCTCGGCGTCGACGCATCTGCAGCCGCCCCGACTGCACCGCACTGCACATTTTGTACACCCATATGCAGTGATGGGTATTACCTATGTGTTATGTGTATATGTATGTAATAGAAACTGCGGCAGCGGCTATTCCCGTGAGCAGACCGTTTTCACAATAATACACGATGTATATACAAACGGCGTATCGAAGACAAGGGCGGAGTGGCGAAATTGATACGATGCGTGTGTAGTTGGTGATATCGTATATATTAGGTACCAATGTATAATATATTATTATGACGAGCATTGAGCAGTGCGTGCGTATATACCTATACATATAATAACATTATATTCATAATATGCTCACCACGCTTGAAAGAGTAAATAATATTGACATAGGTACACCTCGAGGCAAGCACAGTGTATACTATATAGCAATATCAAATAAAAGTGAGTACCGACGTCGATTTTTTATATTACTGCACAATGTTGACAAAGCGCCCCGTCAACGTGTTAATAAGGATCATTCGGGGCACGAGGACCTGCGGCGGGTGGCCTTTTTCTGCACACTATTGTTACACCCTTCCGCACGCAGCATAAATCAAAATTGAGGTGGGTATTAGTAAAATCACAAAAATCCTCTGCAGGTATTGTTAATATCACCTATTTAAGCATTGTGAATTCTTATTCAGCGCGAAACATTGTTTAAAAAAAATGTTTAACCTTTAACAGATTCCACGATCATAATATTATATTAGGATGGGTATTAAGTACTCACATAAACATATCAACGGTGTAAAATAAAAAATTTAAAAACATTAATGTCATGGTGATGTACAAGTAGTGCAATGGTGTCTGTGTGTAACAGGTATATACATACTATGCCGGTAATATAATATATATTATTAATATAGGTAGGTTGTATGTACCTACATATAAGTACAGAACTAATAATTGCTTATTCAAAAGCTCTTTTCCTACAGCTTTGTCGCAGTGAATTGCGGTTCACAGTTTGATTAAAATCTACCTCGTGGAACGATATAATTCTTCTGCAGAACAAAACACCCTTTGAGACGATATTAAATAACATTTTGTTACTATACACTAAACACTTGCAGACTATGTGATGAGACGATTTTCAAACACTCGTTAAGATTGATATAGGTACTGTGTCGTCAGATAACAATTTATTTTTTATGAATACACATTGCCCCATACGACAGTTTAGGCTATCCGTTTACAAACATATATTATAATTATTATAATCGGTGTTTGCAAATAATTTAGTAGGTAATGACACACTCTATTAGAGCGCTCGCTGAAGTATTGAGATTATTGTGTTTTTTTTTTTTTTAATATATTGACGTGTCTTCTACGTTAACTCACTTTTTTTGCTAATTTACATAGTTTATCATACAATTGCAATTTTCGAATTGTATAGGTGCAGACTTGTCTTACAATTATACCTGTTCGTGATAGAAAGATATTTTTGTTTTATTCTTAGAAAATACTTAATTCATTATTTGTGATGGGTCCCTTAAATATATAGCTCAAGAGCTACGGTCCCGCCTATGATCCGGGTTTAATTATTGCAGATCTGCTGCCAGGTAATCGACTATATTATAATATACACCTACACTGAAACTGCCATGTTTAGATTTAGCGAAATGTTCTGTTTAACGAATATGGTTTGAGAACTAGAATCAAATATATCCAATTCTGAAACATTGACGAATTTCTATGTGACAAGAAGTTTTTTGTAGTCTGTTGAGATTCCGTATGATGTGGAAGTTTTGAAGTAATATATTGTTAATTATAATAATATTATTATGTCGTATCGATGGTACCGATTTGACCATTCGAATGGACATTGGTATATTATATAAACGGTCGCGTGACCGTCGTATAGAAATATTGTGTAAGCAGTACAAATATCATTATCGTCGTTATAATTATTTAAAATAATATATTATAATAATGACGGCAGAGGCGAGCGCGTCCACAAAATATATAATAAAAAAAAAAAAAAACTGACTGCGCTGTACACGCACACACACATAATAATATTATACGTATAATATACACGGACTACACAGGCATTACATACACACGGACAGACAAACACACACGATAATGCTCGAAAGGTTAACAGGCGAAACGAGATAAGTGAAGACGTGTACCTGTGTACATATATATAGTGTATATTACATATATATATATATATATATATATATATATATGGAGTAGGTATTAGGTATATGTTATAAAGTATATGTATGTATACACCGCCGTCGGTGGTGGCCGACGTGCGTTTTATTCGCTTCCGTTTTCCGCCGGAAGACAGACAATGGCAATGTGTAGCTGCGCGCGCGCGCGCCAGAGCACACACACACACACACAAAGACATTTCGTATAAACGCAAGAGGTTAGGTAAATGCGGTCGAGTGAAAGAGTAAAAAGCCTCCCGAAAGAATGGAAAATATTAAACTGTTTAACTATACATAATCTATGTATGTGTACCGACAATACTGCAACCCGCACGCACAGACGCTGCTTGCGTAAATGTGTGGGTACAGGGTGATATTCACACCGCGAGGGGCGCAATCATCCAATTTTTGGTATTTTGACAACCTACGAAATTCCTGCTATGAACACATCAAATCTAAAATATAATACACACATTATAATATTTAGTACACGGTAAGACTAACTTAGGTATAATAACGTCCAAAAAGATTTTCTAAATACTAGAGGAGTAGATTATGGAGGCATGGATTGGAGGGAGGCAGCGGAAAGTAGAGAAGAATGGGGAACATTTGTTCTACGGTAAGATCCACATTGTTCCTCGGACTATTTTCAAAATCGAATCTTCATATAATATTATTGTATCCTTGATTTCCACGGGTATAGGTAAATGCCTTTTTTAAATATCTATATATGTATCACAGTACATAATAACTCTGCAGAAAATCACTCGTTCGAATGTATCGATTTATAGATATTATAAATACCATTAGTATTACCATTGAGTATAATATGTTGTACAATATAGGTATAATAATATACTCAATGTGCTATTACTCACTAGATAAAAAAGTTCAGAAACTCTGCCTCTCCAACACAGTAATATACTCCTTATCCGAGAATAGGAATTCGAATATAATATTCTGCATATCATAGAATAATTAATAATTATAACGGATAAAAACTGCGCGTTTAGCGTGCAGTCGTACAGTGCGACTCGGTGCGGCGTCACCCTGCAGTATGTACCTAGGTCCTACATATATATATATATATATATATATATATATAAGTACGGTGGTCCGGATAAGTATATTATCGCTCGTGTGTTGTAGGTATATACACCTATGTATTATAACAACATGTATATAGAATATAATAATAATAATAATAATAATATGTAAACACGGACGTGAAAGACGGAGACGACGCGCACACATTATGACAGGCGCTGTTGGCGTTAAAAACCGCAATTAAATTATACACAGGTACGTGTGTGTGTGCATGTATGTTGTTTTTATTATATTATTATATTTTTTTAGCGTGTCTAATGACACACGAGATGGTACAAAACCCACACACACACACACACACACGTCACATATTGTATGAGGTCGTCAGCGTGCATTCGGCGGCGGCGGCGGCGGTGGCGGTGGTCACACAGGATAAATATATATTAACGGATGGCATTTTGTTCGGTGTTTTTTTGTTTTGTCTAATAATAATATATATATATATAATATGTTGTGCGCTTGTGTGTGTGTTTATTTATTTTTTCGTTATTTGGTAAACGCGCGTGTTATTGTGGGCTTATGATGTCGGACTCGCAGGTCGGACGACGGCAGTGTGATGAGTGCGATGACCAATGGCGATCGGTCTCCTATATATATATATATATATTGTTACTATATAAATATTATACATATATATGTATATATTAAATATATAGTAAGTCATGCCGGGGACGTGCGCGTGCGCACGAGTCGGTATCGCATCGTATACCTGTATAAAACGCGTATATATACTTAAATACGCTACGACAAATACACACGTAATATGTATTAAATTTTATATAAAATAAAGTGACCGAAAAAAAAAAATCACGTCGTAATTGGATTTAAACGTCATTGTGTCAAGTCATTTCGGATGAGGTCAGAATCCTCTATATTGGTACGTATACTGGTACTGTTGATGGTAGACGTGATGATCGCGATGCTCGTCGAATTATGTGTATAAGATAGTAATAATATGATGGCGTTGTATATTGGTGGAAAAAAACGGTAATCTCAAATTTTCCTATTCGTTTTCCGACCGCAAAAATTCGATTTAATTTCTTTTCTCGTGCCACCGCCGCACACATTATTGATACCTATATCTATTAAAAATTACATTTTGGTTTTTTTATTCCCTTT